GCAAAAATACAAAATCGAAGTGTCCGAATATTTTCTCGAAAAGGCCTGCATTTATTTATTATTGAATTTATTCCATTTGGCTGATACACATGTAGATATATAGATGTAGAAAGAAAAATATTACTCGCAAAAATCCTTTAATAACTTTTCGTTTTTCGCAAGATAAGTTAATCACCCTGTTTTTCCGAAAATCAGCATAACCAGCAACCCTAGAATGACTGAGATAGCTTTTCTGTTCGTTGTTTACGATAGCTTTACAAATTAACTCTTCTAAGACAATAATATCATTTAAAAATCTCGACCTCCGCCCTCCGCTTTCCTCGCTATTACTATTTTTGTATTTTTATACACCCTAGATGTTCGAGAACGAAAAGGTAAAATAAAAAGATAAAGAAGGAAAAAAGAACAACTGGCAATGTGGTTATGGATTGGATTTTTATTTTTATTTCGTGATGACTTTCTTGTACAGTCTAAAAGGCTATTTTCCTTATCCTTAGCATTATCGTCACTTTTTCATTAACAGGGTTCACTAGATAGAAAAACCTTAATGAAAATTTAAAAATATTTTTTCTTGCGTAACTGCAGATAAAACACAATAGACAGACAATAGAACTTAATGACCTTAATCTACTTCGGTGTCATTATGAAACATTTGGCATTGTCATTTGAATGTCATTAGGTCCTTCATAATAGCACTAGTGCGTTTAGGAATTCATAAAAACACCCAAATTATTAAATGAAAAATATCCAAAAAGAAAGTTAGTTACCAGAAGAACCTTTTCATTGATGCGGTCTCGATATTCGAAGGGACACTTTCGAACTCAGAATCATCAATATTAATATTAATTTCCACTATAAAACTGAATTTATAGCACAAAAATGGACTCCGATATTGAAGCTGCCAAATTCATAAAATCAACAAGCAGGTTCCCGAATAGTATTGGCATCTGCTAAATTTTGGATTTTAATTTGTAAAGTTTTGGGTATTTCAAGGCAATTCAAATTTATTTGGACCAGCGTAGATTAAATTTTGAATGATACACGTTCGATATGAACTTTATTAATGAAACTTGTTTAACTAAACCACTCGGCTAACGCCTCGTGGTTTAACGTTACACGCGTTTCATTATGGTGTTCATATTGAACTACATAGTATCATTAATAACTATAATAATCCTGTAAAGTTTCTAGACACATTTAGCCTCTAGTCCCAATTCAGAGATAATATACAGGGTATACCATTTAAAACGAAACAGGCTAAATATCTGATGCCACTCTGATTTTTTTAAATCGCTCGTACACGTAATTTCATTGTGTGTTTGATTTTATGAGTGTTTGAAACATTTTCAATTTTCAGCACTATAACTTAAAACCCTCTAAGGGCGGGACCAACTCTTACCATTCCAAATGCAAAAGGGGGTCAGAAGAATTGAACCCTTTTTTAAAAGAGGTATCACTCGACCAAGTGCAAGTGCTAAAAATGGTTGCAAAAAACTTTCCCCATTGAAAATCAAATTACGTGTACGAACGATTTTTAAAAAAATAAACGTGGCATCAGATATCTAGCCTGTTTTGTTTTCAATGGTACACCCTGTATATCCTGTTGTTTTTTTTTAAATTACCTCCTCTTAATTTTTATGGTAATTTATATACAACTTCAAACTACATATTACATCGGTAAATAACAAGTACCTTGGTAGGTATACCTATTTTTTTTATGCCTATAATACAACTAGGTACCAGATTCAACAAATGATTATCAAAATTGTTTCTATTGAATGGGGTTGAGGTTGGGTGGGCAACTTCACCATTTGCCCGGTGGGCCAAATGACCCCCAGTCCGACACTGCTAATACTGAACCATTAATAAGCCCTAATATCAAATACCTAATATTAATTAAATTGTTACTTTCCCCGTCATTTCCAGACCTGCTATACCTATTACAAATTTGTATAATAGAGAGTTATTTAAAATTGTATCTACTGCAGTGAAATATTCAATATCAGTAGGTATGTATCCTACCGACTTTATTTTATTGTCAACCCTATTTTTGCGGGTTATTGGGTTAGTTTGGTAAGGATAAAACGATTAAATCATAATTATTTAGTATCATGGCTTTTTAATACCCAGTCAGAATGTAGACATCGAACTGAACCGAATTCACCGATTAAGCGAACATGAGTCGCAAGTTTTATGGTTTTGGGTATGTCCAAATTTTTCTGGATTCCTACGTTTGGGATAAATTCTGTTGGGGCGACTACCTGTCGGTCCAAATCCGATTCCAGACGTACACAGAGTTTGGTGACGTTGTGTCGGGATTTCTACAGTCGGGACAAATATGGGCGGGATAATTAGGTGGCGAGAAAAACACGTAGAGCCCGAACAAGGACCCTCTTACCCGAATCGAATTTATCCACCTTGTGTTTTTCTTCCTACTCTTTCCATTATGCTCGATACTGTATTCTTGTTTTGTATCACCAAGAGAACAAACTAACTTAGTCTTTTGTTTTTCGTCCACCCTATTTAAAACTTGGAAAACAACCCTACAGTATGTTTTTTTAATTATTTAAATAGCTTCAAAAATAAAGAAATTATGACAGTTTCAAATGTTATCAAGATAAAATGATCACCCTGTACATATTTCTCTTAGGTGAAATGCATAATTGGAGAGCTGGCGTTGAAAACATGCAAGAGTTTTCTGAAGGCTGATATTTTCAAAATAGGTCGTACTTTAGTGATCGAAAGCTAGTATACAGGGTGTTTCAATTTCGAGCCACATCATTCGGATCTCGGAAACGGTGAGAAATACACGGTTGGTTAAATCGGGGCAAAGTTGCATAATTTGATGCTTAAAAAAATGCCGCTTTGATATTTAGGATATTCCGAATACTTCCGGAGATATCCGGAAAAAAACGAAATTTTGCAAAATTGTTTTTATTTTTCAATTCATTCATTTTACTGCTACAAAAAAGTAGCTATGATGAAGTGACATTTTCTTTTAAATATCTCTCCAAATAAAGTCAAAAAAATCAAAAAATAAAAACAATTTTGCAAAATTTCGGTTTTTTTTCCGGATATCTCCGGAAGTATGCGGAATATCCTAAATATCAAAGCGGCATTCTGTTAAGTTTCAAATCACGCAACTTTGCCGCAATTTAACAATCTCTCACCGTTTCCGAGATCCCTGTACAGTCAGTACTCACAGTTCCGGAACAGCTGGCGCATGGACGCGCGCAAAACTATTTTTTCAAAGGATCTCTGCTTTCTCAAAGCTCTAAATTTATAGAAATTTTGCGCATTACATGTAAATCGTCAGACGTCTAGGTCGCTGCAGAAAGAGTGTCAGAAGCACTTAAAGTTTTTATTTTATGGCATTTTCTTCGGTGTTCCCAGAGATGGTATCCCTTTAAATATATTTGTCAAATACCTGCATACGTTAGCTGTGACCTTCAAACAGATAATGTGCAAAATTTCTATAAATTTTGAGCTTTGAGAAAACAGTTAGTGATGCTTCTCAAAATAACAACATGCGCGCGTCCTAGCGCCAGCTGTCCCGGAAGTGTAAGTGCTGACTGTACACCAGGCATTCTATCACTAACGTATGACTTATTTGGAAAATATTAGCCTTCCGAAAACTCTTGCATATTTTCGACGCTACCTCCTGGGCTAGAATGTACGGTTCCAGCCGGTGTGTCTTAGTACCTGTCCTATATAATCATCGTTCATTAATTTACTCGCCTTTTCGACCTCGTAAACTGTCAGTAAGGGCCAGTTTCACAAACAGTGTTAACCCAACGGTAACCACAAGACACTGGTAACCTCTACAATATATCTGTTGCATGATGTGTGGTTTAGCCAAAACCATTGGTCAAGTTCCCGATTTTTCAATGTGGTCAACCCGCAACCATGAGTTTGATGACCAGTGCAAGAAGTTACCACCGATTGTAAAACTGGGCCTTAGTTTTACATCGTCAAAGGGCTCTGGAGTGATATATCTTAGTTCGCAGCCTTTATCTATTCAAAATTGTTTGTTGCGGTCCTGACCTGTGGAGCATTGGTTCGAATTGGGACACCAAGTACACTATATTAGAGAAAAATATGATTTTTCTAGCAATGAAATGTTATTCTTATACACATTGTCATCCCCCCAAGCTCCCTTACCTGGCAGGTAATAAGATGAAATCTAACAGAACTTCTCTCTCTTCTCAAGAAAACAAATAAACTTAATGCTAATAATAATAATACGAAAAACTAATATATCTAATACTACACCTAGGAAAGAATATAGTCTTTAGGATAATAGGTGGGATTTTTTACCATACATATGTTTCTACATACAAAAATGAATATGACAACTTTTTCTTTTGGTCGAGACCAAAAATATACGTAGAACATATTGAAAAAATGAAAAAAATTCATATACAGTGTCATATTTTCCTGAGTAGCTTTGCTTGTTGATATTATGTTCTTGCTTGCGTAAGTCTCTCCATAAAACTCTTGAAATTTTAATGCAATCACAGATTAACACTTCAAAGCTCATGACATTTTCTGTCTTCCACCAAGCTCCCTTACCTGGCAGGTAATAAGATGAAATCTAACTAAGTGCAAGAAGTGCAACTGAGTAAGTCCAAACAAGTTGGCAACGATGTCAAGTATATAGGGGTCGAATTTTTGATTTCTTCTTCGTTTAGTGTTGAGTCTGTCCGATCCAAAATATAAGCATTTGGCAGGATGAAGTTTATCATTGATATTTCCAATAGAAAGAAAATGGAATATTTCCATTTTTGTGTAAGATAGTCTGGAATGTAAAGTCCCGGGATGGTTTTTCTTGAAGCGTCATTCACTCTACTTATACTGTTGAATGGCAACAACAGTATAAGCCTGTAGGAATTTTAATTTTCTATTTATTATTGTAGTGTAGTGTACTTTTTCCATAAAAAAGTTTAATGTTTCAGGAAAGTTCTTGCAAGCTGACTAAAAATATTCGTTTCACTTTTCAGATTATTTGCACGATATTAGATACGCAAGAAAAGATGGCAGCAGCAATGACGACCTCAGAAGTAAGATTAAATTCATCTAATTTAATTTTATACAGGATTTTGGCCTTTTTTCTCAGGTACAGTGGATCGTCTCTCACAAATGGTGACCATCACATTGACACTAACCATCTTAATGCTGCTAATATTAGCCGGCGTACTATGTTTCCAATTATACAGATGGAAAATAAAGAAAAACATTTCTTTGAAAGATATTTCAAATTCTTTCTTCAAAAAGGTTTGTAGGTATCCCTGCTAAAATCTAGAAAATCATATTTATTATTTTAGAACGAAACTACTGCAACCACTCCAGATAACAGAGAAAACAAAAAAAGAGACATGTGTCTCGAAATGCCCGGTTCTAATGTGAATTCTGAGCACAGTCCTGTTACTGTTACAACATCCATTGACCGAAGACCAGCCGAAGATAGTACTTTGGATTATTCTTATGATAATCCAGTAATGAGACATACAAATATTAGTTAACAACATTACGTCACATCAACTTGGGTTTGTTGCAGCCTCATAGAAAAAAGATATCTAATAATCGGGCACTGAGCAAAAATATTGTATATAGTAGTATATATTAGTACAGAACGTCCTAGAACAGTTAAACGTCCATTGATTCCGTTCATTGTTTTGACTAAGTTTTAAGGCACAAATTTTTTATTTATTTTAAATTGTCAAAACCAAAGCAATAATACACCGTGATTGTCGTAGCCCGTGCATTAGAATTCAATTGAATTGCAGGTGGATTATTAGAGATAGCATCTAATCCACCTGCAAGCTAATGCAGGGGCTACGTAAATCACCCTGTATATGATATGATATTGATAAATAAATAGGTTGGTTCCAAATTAAAAATGCCATCCTGGTTTTGATTAGTGCAATAAGAATACAATACTCTTTTTGTTCGTTAGACATCAGCATAAGCTGTTAGAGTTCAAGCATCACGAATATGTTACGTTGTTTAGGCATTAATTTATTTTCTGGATAAAATTTGTTTTCCTAATTGTAAAATGTACTTAAATGTAAAACGCTTATTATTATTATTATTGTTAATATTTTATGTTGAATAAAAATTGGTAAACTTAATTAGTATAGGTACCCAAGGTTGTTCAATTCCTTATCATCTTTATTATTGAATTTTTCTGATTAGTCATCACTATTGTATTGTTAAAACAATTATTACAGTCGTCATGTATTCAAAGATAAATGTTTTGCCATTTTCAGAGAACAACTAAAATGTGGCAATTCTGATACACAGGTGCATGCATACAGTGTGAGTCAATTAAATCTAAACTGTGTTTTCTTTTTTTTTTTAATCCACTTATCCTTGAAAATTCAACTAACTCCCATATGGCGGAATTTGTTTTTGCATATAGGGTGACACTTTAATTTGATTGTGTGTTTTTTGATAGCAATATGTCACAACCCCTATACGTTTCATCCTGAAACGTAACACAGGAGCGTGACCTGGGGGCGTAGGTGAGGTTCAGGTAGAGATAAACTCGCTTGGTATAGGTACAATAAGATATGTATTGAATAATAATAATATTATCCTAGAAATAGTATTATGACGTCTCTTCTACGGAGAGACGTACTACTTATAAGCAACTCTGTATTATGCACACTCTGAAGACTGAAGTTGGGTTTGAGATAGGTTCAGAAGGGCGTTTTCCCATTAAAGGTAGTTTGCACTGGACCTAGTCTGCTGCGTTCAATACTCCCAGAAGGGCATTTCCCATTAAAGGCAGTTTGCACTGGGAGCAGACTTAGCTATAGGGGCTTTTCCCATTTGAGGTACTTTGCACTATCCTTAGTCTGCCGGTGATTTCGGCGCGGTATTTATACCAAATAAATGCCGACTCGTCGACACACTTTAGTAAAATTGATTTACAAAGTGGTATTTACTTAAGTAGTTGACATATGCCCCCCCCCCCCTCTGGGAGGCATTGACCCCCAACGCTTGTAGAAGAGATATTAAAATTAAAATTAAATATGACAAGATACCCAATAGGATTACAATACGATAAAACACAATAAATTAAATACAATACAATAAAATACAAACGATAAAATACAATACAATAAAAATACAATAAAATAAAACATAATACAAAAGCGATAGGAATAGGATTGATATAATTACTAAAGTTTAGATAAATGGATAAAACTGTGGTGCGCCAGGAGATCCCGTCAACGGTTGGGTTCTGCTGTCTAACCAGATGCGTCTTCTCAGTAAAGACAGTAAATAGTCCAGGTAGGTACCATAACGTTTGTGCTTCCTTGGGGTCCAGATTTTGGTTGACCAAATTTTTCATAGTGTCTGGTTCTTTGCTTCCAATGGTAGGTTCTCGTAGGTCTTTGGAGCAGAGATACCCCTGCTCAGCAATCCCTGATCCAGGTTGTAGTGGCGTCATGGGTTTCTTGGCCTCGTTTGTCCTCTGATCAGATAATGCGATTTCGTGCGTATGAAACAAAATTGATGTGTGTTAAAAAAACAAAAATGATGCATGTTAAAAATTAAATTACTAAAAATGAAATAAAATTGCCTTGTGCTCTTCGTCCTGGCTTTTAGATTAGTTATATTCCCGTGCTTAGTTAAACTACTTAATTCCTTGTCTAAAGCCGATGCTATTCCTCCCATATATGTTAAAATCCTACATTCTACTTTCTCTGATTCTTGACACTTCCTGCCTCCCAGAATTGTTGGTTCTAAAGGCTCTTCAAGCCAGGGTACTCTGTATGTTAATGGGATTGACCCCTCGTATGAAATTGTATCTGGTAGAAGTTTCCAGGTTGCGCCGGCGGATACTTCTACCTTACCACCTGGCTTGTGGCGCTATAAGTCAGTATCACCAAAAATCTGGAAGGAAGAGAGTTTGATAAATCCTGTTTAAATCTATTTAATACTGAGGTTCGTTTCTCTCTCTCCTTAACTCTATATTTTTATAATGTACATGTGGCTACTTTCTTCTACTGCTCATTTCCTTCCTCATCTCTTACTTCTTTTTCGTCTTCGTTTTCTTCTTCATCTTCGTCTTCTTCATCTCCACTATACTCTTCGATAGGTGCACCTTCTGTCCACGGGTCATTGTAGGGCAGCATCCTACTGACGTGGACCGTATCTTTATTCTTCTTTCGACTACCAATTTTTTCTACTTCATAATTTACCTCTCCAAGTTTTCTAAGTACCTTATATGGTCCAAACCATCTTAAAAGTAACTTTTCACTTCTTCCAACCTTTCTGATTGGGATAAACATCTTAACTTTGTCTCCAGCTTCAAAGTCCAATTCTCTATGTCTTTCATCAAAATACCCCTTATCTTTCCCTTGTCTTTTCTGAATATTTTCCACTGCTATAGATAGTATTAAGAGTGCTGTTCAGAATTGGGTAATTCTTATTTATCGATATTAATAGGACTCCGTCAAAGAGTCAAGAATCGAGCGTTGAGTTTTTATAAACATATACCTTTTTTTGGGGTTTTGCGCGCGATACCTCACGATGGAGATACGAAACCTACGACAGTGTTAAAAAGTACAGCTCCAGATGAAGAGCGTCACGGTCTTTTAAAGCCGCGTTTTTTGGTGACAAGCCGAGAACAATCGATATCAATGATTTCGGTTATCGGGTGTGCTTTCGCTCAATAAATAATACCATCCAGAAGCTCATTTTTGGTAGCATCAAGAAACCCCGGCCGGGTAAGCTAGAGGCCAGGACACAGAGGTGAGACCTTACCAATACACATTTTTTTAAAAATCTTTATCGTGAGTCGTTTTTTTCTTATTGTCAATTTATTTCAAAATAAAGTTTGCCTGTTTCTATTAAAACAGGCTGGTCCTAAACAAGTGCCTTTTCCCTGATTTGTAGTACGTCCGTTCCATTTTCAGCATCCAATAGCACAGCTTTAGCAGGTAGTGTGGGTTCCCTTGCGTACTTAAACATAAATGGGCTAAATCGAGTCGTATCTTACATTGCTGTATTAAAAGCAATCGTAATAAACGGTAAATAGCTACACCAGTCTGTTTGCTGTGTGTTACAATACATACAGCTATTGTCTTATTTAGCCTTTCTGTTAATCCGTTAAAGCATGGATGATATGCTGTCGTAAACTGGCTTTTTACTCCCATTAAACTTCCTAATTCCCTTACTAACTCCGATTGGAAGACTTTTCCCCTATCGCTAAGCAGATTTCTTAGCATTCCATGTATCAAAATAGTATATTATGTATTTAGGTGGAAAAGTGACACATTCTCGGCCGACGGTGTAAGTTGACGGGCGAGGCGTAGCCGAGGCCGGCAAACACCGAAGGCCGAGAATGTGCTTTTCCACCGAAATACACATACTATTTTTTCTGCGATCGATTAAATACCTGTTAAATGTTTGTCTTTTAGTTCCAATTATTCAGCAATACGAGAATCACTTTCCCGGCCTAGGCCGGAAAAGTGTTTCCCGTATTTGTTATTCATTGATTTCTTAGCAACTATTGAAACATAATTGAAATACCAGAATATTGAGTTTTGCGACCTGTCAACCGGTCAAAAATGCTGACATTTCTTGTCAATCGCAGAAAAATTCTTTTTCTGATAAAAATTTTGCGACTGGTCCTGCTTTTCAATTTGGCAAGGCGGCTGTGATGGCATATCGTGAGGCGTAATCGGTAACTACTACTATCATTGTTTTTCCCTTATTACTTCTTCTAAATAGACCCAATAGGTCGATGCCAATCTTGTTGAAAATCATTCCTACTTATACTGGTTGTAATAATCCTGGTGTTCTTCTATAAGGTTGCCCCTTCCATGCCTGGCAATCCGGACATCCTTTCACGTATTTTTCTATATCCTTGAGCATTCCATCCCAATAAAATCTGCTATTAATTTTCTCTGTCGTTTTGCTGAGCCCTAAATGTCAGCTTGTTGGTGATGCATGTAGTTCCCATAGAATTTCTTTCCTCATTGTTTGTGGCACCACCAATACTTTTTCTAATCCTTTCTATGTTTTATTTACTTTATATAATAGGCCTACTTCGATCCTGAAATTTTTTGCTCTTCGTCTGGTACCAATGTCAATTTCTGGATCGTCTGGACTTCCAATAGCTTTAAGGAGTTGTTTTAAGCTTGGGTCTGTTTTTTGTAACGTGGACATTTTCGATGTTTGTACTGCAAATGTGTGGAATTCTTCTTGGTGTTGTTGTTCGTGCGTTTCTGGCTGCAGTACCGGGTTGCGAGACATGCAATCCGCGTCCTTGTGGATCGAGCCTTTTTTATACACAACTGTATAGTCGAATTCGGCTAGTTTTAGTGCCCATCTGGCTAAGCGTCTGTTGCTTTCCTTAATAGTGTCCATCCAGCAGAGCGCGTGGTGATCAGTCACGATTTTCACTGGTCGGCCGTATATTAAGTGCCTCAAATAACCTAAGGCACAGACTAAGTCTAGGAGCTCTAATTCGCTAATTGAATAGTTCTTTTCGCTGTTTGAGAGGCTGCGACTTATATAGGCTATTGGATGTGCTTCTCCCTTGTTATCCTCTTGTAAAAGAACTGCCCCTATTCCACAGGTTGCTGCGTCAGTGTGCAGGATAGCATCTTTGTTTGGATGGGAATGCTTTAGTACTGGTGCAGAGACAAGCTTTTCTTTGAGAGTGTTGAATGCTTCTTCTTGCTCTGTACCCCATTTGAAGCCTTTCTTTGTTACTTCATGCAATTGTCTGGCTATTGATGCGAAATTGTAAATAAACATTCTATAAAAGTTGCACAGTGGTTTGTACATCCTTGACTTTCTTTGGTCTGGGAAATTTTCTTGTGCCAACTATTTTTTCGTTATCCGGTAAAATTCCTTACTCATTTACATTAAAGCCTAGTATCTTGATTTCCTGTTTTAAGTATTCGCATTTGCTTGGTCTAAGCGTAAGAGAAGCTTGCCTTAATCGTTCAAAAACTTTTCTTAGCTTTTGTAAGTGTTCCTCGAAAGTATGGGAAAATATGATGATGCCCAGGGCCGCAACAAGGGGGTGGCGAACTAGGCGCCCGCCTAGGGCGCCGAAGGCCCCTAATTTAATCCATCCATATTTTACAATCCAAAAAAAGGCAACGGTTTCACGCGTCATTTGTCGTTGCACGAAAATTTATTTTGCTTGTGTTACATCTCTCTTTGTCAACCATCAACAATACGAATATCGATAGTAATCATATAAATTATGTTAAACACCGTGCGCGTGCAAAAGGCAGCAGCAAATTGCAATGTCTGTGATAAATTCAAGTATTGATGACGTAGCGCCCAACATTCGTTAGCCAGAGATTAGCTTCGAATTGAGCTTTGATCCGACCAAACTGAGCCAGAGCACTGTGGGCGACGTGGGCGCCCTCTGCATGCTACATGCATTATCTCTTTTGACTCTTTTCTATTTAGCCGTATACGGAAACTATAATCGGGTTAACCCGATCAGCAGCTGAATGTTTTCAATCTTTCCTTAATGAATACGATTGAAAAAAGACAAAATGCGTCTGCTGGC